GAGAAGATTGAAGTCAATCGAAATAAATTTATGCGCATGCGTCGATAATCACTCGCTTTTAAATGACACACATTTGCCTTTAGAAAAAAAAAAAATATATTATCGCGGCAAAAAAACTTTAGAAAAAAAAAAAAAAAAAAAAAAAAAAAAGTAACGTTTCAACGAAGTCTGTAAAAACATCTGAAAAAACCGAGACGTTTTCCAGCGTCTTTTGTCGAGCCGTATTTACACATGTATGTGTATAGTAACATACTAACATGCGTATATGTACGCGCCAACGTGTATGTATATATTCGGCTTTTTTTTTTACTCGTTGCCATTTAATGCGTTCCCAGCCATGTATAAATCAAATCTGCCCTTACTCTGGCCGCACTATATACCCTCTTTGACCAGACATGGTGCAATTGCCGCACGCATTCCAACTATGCATCGTTTAATTCATCCCGCCATCCATTCACATCATCTGACCGTTTGAAAAATGAGTACTTTAAACTCGAGGTCATGATATGCCGTCACGACGTTACGACAAGACGGGCTCGCGCGCGCAATGCTCCCCGTGCAAAATTGTACAAATTCCCGCCGCGATCCACTTCGATCCGGATTTCTTCGAGCGGTTTGCGCGTCAACGCAGTGTATGTATCTGAAAGACGTACACTCGCGCGAGAGATGTCGAAGATATTTATGTACATCTTTATATTTTTATTTTTCAAACGTTTTGTAAACACGTACGAACAGACGCGAGCCGAACGGAACCAATTACGTTTCGCGTGGAAACGTGTTTTGCAAGCGAAGCTCGTTTCGTCTTTCTCCTTTCCTCCTATTTCCTCTCGCGTCATTCAGAAAGACCGATACTTGACATTGGCGCACTCGTGAAAGCGATTGTCGATTTTGCGTCGCGGCGGGCAAATAAGTCGTGACGCGCGGCGGCATCTACCATCTTAGCCATAAATTACGGACTTTACAACGTCGCTGACAGTTACTGCGTTTGGTATTGCAAATCGGAGTGCGATATGTTCCTTCAGTTAAAAAAAAATTTCGCGAGTTTTTAACCGACCGATACGCACATTGGTTAACAGTTATTTGCAAATTTTTATTTTACCACACGTTCGATACCTGGCTTTTGATGCCGAACAAATCCGAACGCGGATTCAGTCACTTGGTGTCGTCATCACGCGTGAAATTTTTGCATTTTGCCAACGAATTAGACTAGGGTTTTGACTTTTCAGTCAACAACACGTACGCAATTTTTCTCCCGTAATAATAGCGATGTCGAGGAAAATGTACAAACACATCAAATTCGTTCGGCATTCAAATGATTATGTTAATACAGAAATCATGATTTTATATGAGAAATGTACAAACAGCTACCCTTTCTCCTGTCAAACTAAGCGAAACAAGTGATAAGCGGTAAATCAACCACCGTTGCAAACAGGTATGAATATGTGTAGGTATTTTTTACGGCCGTGCCGCAGCTCTGCAAAAAATGTGCGAGTGACTCAAAAGTTGATTGAATATCGAAGAGAATTTATATATCTCTATAAATCATTTCTAATCTCTCGGGAACGCGCGACGTGTACGTCGCTAAGAAAACTTTATAATTGTCGAAGGGTTTAGCAGGTCGAAGCGATAAACCGCGTCCAAGTTTACATGACCGCGACTGGTGTTTCTCTTTCGTCGCGATTATCAATTCCAAGCGCAATTCCACATTGCGAAAATATTGTCCCAACTGTTGCGCGTTAAATTCTGCTTACGCGCATTACGTTGCCTCTTCTATAACCGATAACTCGAGAGATACATGTGCGCGCGCGCGCCCGCGAAATGTTTTGATCCCGTCGAGAGAATCTTCCCCGCTTGAAAACGCTCGATAATTTTTTTGCTCGACTACATTTGCGACGAAAACGCGTCAAATATCTCGAACGACTTTTACGGCCGAATCGCGCAATTTTAACCGGATCTGATCGAGTTTTCTCGCGTGTCTGTTGCGCAAACGATGCAAGAAATTCTCGTTCAAACAAATTACAGAGGCAAAGTTATACAAAGTTTTTGTTTCGTATATATATGTTGTTTTGAGAAATTTTATATTCGTCAGTTGTTTCGTAGCAACAAATTCACGGTGCAACGGAACAACGGTGTAGTAAGTTTTTCAAGGCGCCAACTTCAAAAGGGTAAAGAAAATTAAGACCGCTCGATACTCATAACGCAATATATTTGTGCTTGCGTAACAATAAACCATACATATGGTTGTAGATTTCTTACATTTTTTCGCACTTTTGTAAAAATACATATGTACGTGTGCGCACTCATAAACACACGCAACGCGTGCATAAATTGTGCAGAATTTCCATAGCGTGATACGACGTGTGGGCGCCGACACCTCGTTTTATCTCCCGACGACCAGACGAGGCGAGGCAAGGCGAGGCGAGATGAGACAGGAGATGCGCTCCGTTCGCTCCTTGTTACTCCAGATTGGACACAGCAGATCTTCGCGCGCGGCCGCAGACTGCTCGCGCTGCGTTATTACCCAGGGGGCAGAGCACGGCGGAAAGGAGAGAAGCCCGATGATGCCGGAGAGAGTCTCTATCTGTGTGTGCAAACCACCTCTGTGAAGTCCGCGATGAGAGAGAGTCATGCGACGGCGCCAACATTCCCATCGTTTAACGACGTGCGCGCGCCATAAAATGTTCGCATCGCCGTGGCGCTTACCTTCCTTTCGCACGCACTTGCGCGCGCGTAGGCGGCAAACGCCACGAGATAACAGAAGAAACGTAAAAGAAACACGCGCTGCTCTCTTGCAGGCTAAATTAGATGTATGGCAAGAGTTGGAGAAGAGAGAGAGAGAGAGAAAGAGAATTGTATCCGTATTCAAATAAACCGCACGTATACATCTACGCTTTATAAATGCATTCAGGAATGTCGTATAATTAGCCATTAATTCACGTTGGATAGGTCGCTAATGCGAATAAACGATATATGTAAGCGTCCCCGGTTTGTCGATATGGGGACGCCGGACAGCACGACGACGCGGCGGCGACAGAAAAACCAACCTTTTCCCCGTCGCAGTGAATACTCTCGGCGTTGTTGATATTTAAATTTTATTGCGTTTCCCGATTAGTTTATGATAATCACATGATAATCGTGGCGCCGGCGCTCTCTCGACGCTAATCGCAATATTCGCGCGGCGCGCAACACGAGTCTCCTTACGAGCGCGTGTTCAGTTATATGACGCACCACTTGGCGATGTTTTTTTTTTTTTTAATATTTTTTAAATATTGAGAAATGCGCGCGCGCGTAACTGTGTGCAAAACAAAAAAGTTAACGACTCTTTGATCCTTCCGAGATAGATCATTTTCCGCGCGGATATTCGGAATCCTCGCGAGTCTTCCTCGCTCGTGTTACAGGCGGGCATCGTTTTATCGATTTAGCCACCGAGAGGCACTTGGAGACATTTCTCGTAACAATCGCTTCCTTGTGCGCGCGGCGTAATTTACATACACGCCTGAGAGAAACACACACACACTTCGGACTAAATCGCGTCGAAAACAGAGAGAAAGAGAGAAAAGACGGAGGACGGATTCGTCGAAGCCGCAGTAACGACCGAATGTGTAGGACGAATAATACCTCCGTGTGTACCTTCCTACGCGGTAATCTGCACGCGACGCATAAACCCGTAATAAATAAGTACGTGCGTGCATTCTTCGCGTCTCCGATACGGTAAGTTGGCACGTGGAAAATACATTGTTCGCCCGGTATGGACACGCCGGCGTACGTCAGCCAACGCCTTTGGCTTTGGCTGAAAAAAGACGAAAAAAAAAAAAAAAAAGACTTCAAAAGAGGATAATACTTTCTTTTCGGAGTAGATAAAGTCGCGTGTCGCGACTGATGACTCGAGTTATTATCTATGCTGATTCGATACGTAGAAAAAGAAAGAAAAACGAATGATGAGGAGATGAGATGAAGCCGGTCGTTCAATCCGAGCCAGTTACAACGCGCGATCCGGTCAGTTTGGTAAGGAACGCCAGGCCGGAGAAGTCGCTTTGTGGGAGAAGATGGGCGCGACAAGCGAGAGAGGCCGGCAAACGGCAAAAGGAGGCGAGAGAGAAAGAATGATAGAAGAGAGGAGAGTCCCGGGAATAAGGCGAGCAAGAGAGCGAGTAACATGTCGAATACACGTAGGATGGAGTAATGCTTCCTCAACGCGCTGTGTAATGTACACGACCGGCGGCGCCGGCGCCTGCACACGTACGGTCTCGCAACACTGTATGTATTTATAGTGCAATATTATTAT